ATATTTATACCCCCTTTTTAGGGTTTACGGCCGTAAACACATTTGTTTAGGCCGTAAACTCCAAACTCTTGGAGGTTTGGGACATTATTGTTGCACAATAAACCCTAGGGCATCCTCTCTCCTGTCATCTCCTGAATTACTAACTTTAAAACACTAGAACTTAATCCAAAAAGCCTGAAAGTTAGCAGAAACTGTTCTGACTCTTATTGAAGTGAGAGGTTGTACATAATAGAAATTTCGGGTTGTCACAATAGCGATCATTGATCACGATAAACGATTCTACTTTTAACAAGGACGTAAGCCCACCATTTATAACAACAGGTATAGCTATTAACTAGGTACATGAACAAGGAGATTATGTAATTTCCTTAAATATGATATTACTTATGAATTTATACATTGACAACTAGTTGTGACACTCATGTATTACATGAGTTTATTTAAAAAAAAATATGAAGGTCTAAATATTTGAGAAGTTTAAATTTATAAGAAAATAACAAAAATATTGAATTATTAAAATTAAAATGTTTTATTCTTTTTAAATTTAAACAAATAATTTAGATAAAAAACAATGGGGCTTTAATTTAGGAATTCTGAAACTATAAGATATGTTTAATGAAATTGATATTCATTTATTATTATATTTATTGAAATTATTACATTTAAATATATGAAATTTTATAAAATGAAAAAAAAAACATATAAAATTGTGAAAAAAAATTAATTTAAAATAACTATAAAATGAAATAAGACATATAAAATGACAAAGTCAAAGTGAAATATCTTTATTTATTATAATAGAATTTTGGAAAATAAAATAGTTATGCTTGCTTTAGTTATTGAATCAAAGAGTAAATATAAAATAGTTATCCGGCTATTGTTATATAAATACCATCTTCCTAAACGTTTTGGCAACACAACATTTTTCAGAAATCAAAATTGAAATGAGCAGCGATCATCAAGATCCTCGTGGCTTCCCGCCACCCACCACCATCGACGAACTCCACCGCCAACCATCTTCATCCACCACCGGAAACAACCTCTCTGATTTTCCCACACCACGTCTTCTCCATACTCCATCTCCATTAATGTCGCTTGAAGTTGATACTAACGCCCTAGAATCACCAGTTTCAGCCGCTCTCGGCAGCCCAATCTTTACCACTCCGTCAACTTCTTTCGACGGTGCAGCACCGGCAACCACCACCACCACTACCGTAAATACCCACAACCCACTTCGCCAAACTTCAACAGACACCAATTCATCTGCCAATCAAGATCCGCCATCAATCGCCACAACATCATCCAAAGTCCTGGAGCCACCAACAAGAAACATCCTACTCCGCCACTCACATTTCGATCCAATCAAAACTGATTCTTAAGAACATCAGAAAAACAAGACGCTGCCGCCGCCGCCAAGAGTTTCCACCACCCCAAAATCAAGAACTTCGCCACCAGTGTCTCCCACCCGTAATCAAATCCGCCAATCAAAGGTTTCTATATAACTTCTTTAACTATAGTTTCTTGTTCTTAGAGTTTAAAGATCAATTGAGTAGTTAAATCCTTCTGTAAACATTATTTGTATATATGTAGGTAATGGTGGAGAGAGCTCGCAATGGTTGTTTCAGATTCCAGGTGAAATGCTCTTGTGGGAATCGCAAAGGGATGTGTATGGATGTTGTCTTCGTCTTCTTCGTGATTCTAATATTTTGTTTCTTTTTGATGATAGGAATAGGAGTTAGCTTTCTTCTGATTTTTTCAATTTTTTTTCATTAGTTGTTTCACAATACATGCACGTTGACATGTTGTGGTTGTTGTAATTCTACATTGATTGAAGTTGATGCAGTTCTCCACTTGATGTTCATTTGTTTTCTGCATCATTCTTTATCTGTTTTAGTTAAACGAAATATTCATGAATAGTATGAAGTATATTGATTCCGACATTCGGTTCATAATGAGATCATGTTTGATATTACCAAAAACTATTTTCTGATCTGCATAAGAAAATTCATTTCAAAAAGAAAAAAAGAAGTATGAAATTCTATATTACAAGCCATCCAATTACGAGTGATAAACGGAGATAGTTTACACATCGTATATAGGAATTTAAACCAATTATTTGTAATAGGTGTTCCATAAAAAATGATATATATCATTTTTAATTATTTAATAAGTAAAAATCCCGACTAACAATAATCATATATATCATATAATGAATTATTCAAATACCAAATGTTTTGATAAAATATTTTAATATAAATGTGGTTTACCATAACCAAATTAACCAATATAACCGAACCATCATTAAGAGATATGGTGCGGTTTTTTATTTTGATTAACCGAATCAATATGATTCGGTTATGGTTTTCATTTAAAACCAAACCACTATAAACCGAATCGAAACAATAATATTAATAATTTTTTTACTGTAATATAATATTAAATATATGGTATGTAATTATATCAGGAATTGAAAATTTAAAAGACATTTATTTGGAATTAGATATGATAAATAATCTTATATCAATATAATTATATATATGGGAGAATTTCGTATATGCCATTGCTAAACATATAAATATCGTATTTGTCCGGCCTAAAATCTAAATATCGTATTTATCCTTCTTAATGTTTTTAAATATCATTTATACCCAAATCTGTTTTATTTTTTATTTTTAACATTTAATAATCCTTTTTTTATATTCTTAAATCATTATAATTAAAAGAAAAGTGGATTTACCATAATGCCCTTGGTTCCAATACAACACATGTTCACATCAGGTTACTTACGATCGCTGCTTCCAACTGAATAAGACCACCATCATCTTCATCATGAAGAATTTTTAGAAGAATTAGGTAAGCCTGAAAGGGGAAAGCACATGCAAGAACACAAAAAACTAAGGATCTAAAACCTCGCCTATCTCAGGGGGCTGTTGTTAGGAAGATAACTACCAATAGTTTTCCCATTGATTTCACATGTTGAAAAATGAATCGGCTGCTTCTTATTAGCAGAAAAGTATTTAACATAAAAACAACAGTATAAATATTAACATGCAATTGTAGAATTAACCATCCGGTGAATTATAGAAAAATGATTAATGTAAGTTGAGCACCGATCATATATGTAAAATCAAGTCAATTCTTACCACTGGGAGACCAACAGACCATCAATGAAATTGCTGTAAAATAGTGTCAAGAGGACGTGTATTATAATCAATCCCACCTCCATTTTCATATCCTTCATCACCTCGTCTCCTTTCCTTTAGCTTCTTATTTCATTTAGCTTGCAGAGACATTAAAATCGATCTTTGACCAAATTTAAAACTCCATTGAGAATTGTGTTCTCATAATCATCAACTTTCAATTCAATTTTGAACAAAGTTTCAGAATTTGCGTATTCAATTCCATAGAAATTTGAAATTTACATATTTTCCTTTTTGGAAATTGTTCCTAGAAGATGGGTGCTGATAACACTGCCGGAAAACCCCAACAAGGCTTTGAGCTTGCCGGAGATTTCGCTCCTCTGGGGCCGTCGAAGGCAGAAGTCCGTTGAAACCATCAGCTAGTCTTGGGGATAGAGGTTCCCGGCGATCGAAAACACAAGGGATTGGGAATTTAGGGGTGGGAGAAATAGAAACTATGCGTCCGGTTGGTCAAAAGGGATTTAAGAACCAAGGGTATTATGGTCCATCCACTTTTTTCCTTAAATTAAAATGATTTAGGAATATAAAAAAGATTATTAAATTTTAAAAATAATCAAAAAAATGGGTTTGGATATATATGATACTAAAAAAAATTGAAGGGCAAATATGATATTTAAAGTTTAGACCGGACAAATACGATATTTACATGTTTAGCAAGGGTATATATGAAATTCTTCATATATAATAAAAAAAACATTTTTAAAATGCAAAATAGTTGAAAATTTTTTTAAAAAAAATATCAAGTATCATTTTCGTCATTTATATTTTCCAAAAAAAAAATTAAAAAAATACCAAAAAAAATAAAAAAATACTTTTTTTTTTACATATTCTAGTAGAATATTAGAATATTTTACATATATGACAAATCTACTAAAATATTCTAACATTGTAAAAATCACATTAGAATATTTACAGTGTAATATTCTATAAGAATATTTCACGTATTTTTCAAAAAAACGAATTTTTTTTTTATTTCTTGTTTTATTATTTTTTATTTTTTTAGGTAATTAAAGTGATGAAAATAATAATTAAAAAGTTTTTTTCGGATTTTTCCTTTTATTTTGCATTTTAAAATTATTTTTATATTTGGTTTCACGGTCTCACAAAATTAGCATTGTCTCAAATGAACTG